TTTCTCTTTCCATAAATTAGAAACACTCAATTTTCCTCCTCTTTCTCTTCCATAAAATTGAAAGAACAAAATTTCTCTCTTCTTTCCTTCAACAAAAAGTTGAAAACTCAAAATTTCCCTCCTTATTTCTCTTTCATAATCAAAAGAATCAAACTTTCCCACTTCTTTCTATTCCCACAAATCAAGACCACCAAAATTTCCACTTGTTTCTTTGCTAAAAAATTCAAATAACCAAATTTCCCTTTTCTTTCTCTTCCCAAAAAGTTGAATACACCAAAATTTTCCTCTTCTTTTAAAAATATCAAATTACCAAATACATTAATTTATTTTATTTATATTTAATTGATAATTTTATTCAATAGTTGAATTAACCAAAATTTTAATTTATATATTATATTAATATTGTCCATGATCTCAATTATTAATTCTTCATTATTAATATTAACATTATGTTGATTTTATATTTACTTTTTTAATTTTGTTAAAGAACTTAGTGTTCAAGTGACCTTCATGTTTCAATTTTTGTAATTTTATTAAAATACATAATATCAAGTGAGTTTCATATTTTTTAAATTCCCTATACGAAATGAAAGATAATTTTACCTATGTTTAGAATGAAAAACTTTATTTTGAAAAACTATGTATTGTATATTATAATAATTATTTAAGTGGACTAAGTGATGTTCGGGTTGAGTCGGTCAGGTTATGGGTTAGTCGAGTTCGGGTCAATCGGGTTCGGGTTAATCGGGTTGCAGGTCAGTCGGGTTGCGGGTCAATCGGGTTCGGGTTAATCGAGTTGCGGGTCAGTCGGGTTGCGGGTCAATCGGATTGCGGGTCGGGCGAGTTACGGGTTGTTGACTTTTAGTCAATTCGGGTTGCGGTCGGGTTGCGGGTCGGGTTGATCGGGCGGGTTAATCGGGTTGGGCTATGTTTTGACACCAATAAATATAAGTGATCACGAATGGAATAAAATATTTTTAGTGACTAAACTTGACATTTTTTAATAATCTTAGTGACCAACCATGGAATTAACCCTTACTAACTGTCATTTATCACATTTAATCATCGTCTATCACAAGCTACCATCCGATACCAGGGTTGTATAGCATGGTATATTTGAATGAAAAACAAAGGTAGTTGGTACCAGGATGGTAAAGAGTGGTAAAAAATTCTCAAACTATATTGATAATTGATTTGATTTTGTATATCACAACGAACCCGTTACATATGTACAATTTCATTTTATAAAGAAAATTAATAAATAAAAGAAAATAAAAGAACTACTTAATTTCACTTCTTAGACCTAGCCCCACTTAAAATTAAAGTTACAGAGCTAATCTACCACTATTGTATAGATTATAGAGGTTTTTGGCCAACACCATCCCAATTCTAATTTTCCAAGCCTATCTGCATAACTAAGAAGGGTTAATTTTTTTTTTTAATGGATGCAGTGCATCTCAACCTTCATTCACAACCAGTCGGGGCTTTGAAATCCCCTAACAGTCATACAAAATGTAAGGGTACAGAGTAGGATCGGAACAAGAAATAGAGTGCACACCAAACGACAATATATGTCCACGACTAGCAAGGAAATCCACACACTTATTCACCTCGCGGTATATGTGGGTGATGTGAACTTCCCACTGATGAGTGAGCAGCTCTTGGAATCTCTGAATAATGGCTGCATGCTGATGATCAGGCGCATCCAGGCTTTGAAGAAGCTGAACTGCACAACGAGAATCCAGCTCAACTCAGACACGTCTAAATCCCATGTCCCAAGCCAACTGTAAACCTTCCATAGCGCCTCTCAATTCTGCCCGAGTGATAGAGCACATCCCCAGATTAATGGCAAACGCTGCTAGACAACGTCCTGTGTGATCTCGAATCAAGCCACCAGCAGCCACGTGTCCTAATTCGGTAGTAACGGAGCCATCCGAATTGAGAGTTACCCACTCGGGAGGTGGTGGCTTCCAAGAGATCTCCACCTCCATTTTGATGGGCAGACGAGGGGAGTGGACTAGCCTGTCTTTGTCCTGGGCATTCCACACAACATTTATCCATGCCTGGACGTGCTGAAGGAAGGTTTCAGTGGTCACAATTAGGGGTGGCTATACGGTCCGGTCCGGTTAAATTGGCCCAAATTGATCCGGTCCAGTCCGGTCTTTTTGAAAATATAAGGATCGAAGATTGGATTGGATACAGTCCGGTCTTGATCCGGTCCGGTCCCAATTCGGTCTTGATTTTACATTGATATTGTGGGATTTGAGTGGCCTAAGGCCTTAAAGGGTGAGGAGTTGGTTAAGTTTTGTACTAAGTGCAAAGGTTTGTGACCGTTTGTACCCTTAAGTTTTGGGTGTTGAGCTCTCTTATCCGGTCTTTATCCGGTTTTTACCTCAAATCTAAGCCCAAAGATTGGATTGGATTGTTTACTATCCAGTCCCGGTCCGGTCTCGGTCCGGGTTATACGGTCCGGTTTCCGGTTTTTAATCCGGTCCCGGTCCAAATAGCCACCCCTAGTCACAATCTTACCCACGAAGACTAGATCGTTTCTGGTCCTCCAAAGGGACCAGCAGATAATGCCAAACACGAAGCTGGTGTGTTGCTGTCGTATATGGTGAAGGATCCATTCCTGAAGCTGGGATCCAAAAAACCGATGGTGATCAGAAGGTTGAATGACCTGCAGCCAAGTTAACCTGGCGACGGTGGTGTTCCCCGTTGGTGAGGAGCCGTTCACGAGCAGCAAGCCACAGGAAATGGATGATGTGCGCCGGGCCCCGCCAACGCCAAATGGATCGCCAATCGAAGCTGTTCGCCTCCTCCTCACTACTCCAAGCAAGGTTATAGGCAGACCGAACGCGGAACCGATAATTTTTTTCAGGGCCCCAAGTGGGAATGTCCCTCCCGGAATTAGCTTTAGGTGGCTGAACTCTAATGACCTGCAAAATACACTCTTCCGGCAGATAAGTACGTAACAGGTCAACATTCCACTCACCTGCAGGAGTAGCGAAGTCCACCACCGAGCTGGTTGGGTCAGGGGGAACATCCGAGTCCACCAAGTCAATCAGAATCTCTCCGAAATCCACCCATCTATCTTTCCAAAAGCTGGTATCTCGCCCATCGCGAATACTCATGTGTGTCCCCAGAGCCATGCTCGGCCACGCCTTGCAAACCCCCCGCCAGAGGTTTGAAGCTCGAGCCATAGATTTAGCTTGCATTCCTCCATGAACCTGCTTGAAATACTTGGCATGCAGCACTTTCACACACAGCTCATCGGGGTTTTTTTATAAACAACCAAGCCAAATTAGACAAAAAAGCAAGATTTAACTCCCTCACTTTTCTTATGCCTAGTCCCCCTTCTTCTTTTGGCCGACACACCGCCTCCCAGTGGACAAGATGGATTTTGCGAGCCTCGGCCGTTGATCCCCAGATGAAGTGCCTAATACGCTTGTCAATCTCATCACATATTGAGACCGGCAGTAACGTGGTTTGCTTGGCGTAGGTTGGAAGGGAGCTTAATACCGACATGGCAAGGGTAACTCGGCCTGCCAACGTGAGTGACTTAGTCTTCCAACCTGCAAGTTTGTTATCCAGCCTGTCTAAAATTTATTTAAACATACCTTTAGTAACTCGCCCATGCAACACTGGTACACCAAGGTAGTGTCCCAAATCTTGAGTAGCTGGGATACCCAACTGCTGGACAATAGCCGCACTAACCTGCCTTGGCGTATTACCCGAGAAATGCACTACGGATTTGTCCTTGCTTACCAGCTGCCCCGATGCCTTGCAAAATCTATCCAGGCACTCCATGACCACTTCACACTGGCTGAGACTGGCCTATGCAAACAGGATCAAGTCATCATCAAAAAATAGGTGAGAAAGACACCTGGGCAAAGACGGATCGGCTTCCACTTCTTCTCGTAGACCGCTTGTTCGATAAGGTGGTTGAGCCGCTCCATGCACAGAGTGAACAGGTACGGCGATAATGGGCACCCCTGTCGAAGTCCCCTAGAAGGGACGAATGGCTCTGTACACGCACCATTCAGAGAACCTGAAGAGAGGACGAGGATACACAATGCATGATGACTTCGTTAAGTTTCTCCGGGAATCCTGCTACTTGCAACGTTTCCCGCAGAAAAGCCCAGCTCACCCGGTCATAAGCCTTAGCAAGATCGATCTTCAGCACCTACTACCCTTCTAACCCTTCCGAAGGCACATCGAATGGACTACCTCTTGAACAATGATAATATTTCTTGAGATATGAAGGCCCAGAACAAAGCTTGTTTGCGTTGGGTGTACAAGCTGGGGCATCCAAGGCTTTATCCTGTTGGCAATACATTTGTTGAGCGTTTTGTACATCACATTGCACAAGCCAATTGGTCTGAATTGTTTGATAGACTCCGGGCTCTCTTTTTTTGGAATCAAGACCAGCAGAGTACTATTCACCTGCCCAATCTCTTGAGGATGCTCAAAGCAATCCGCAAAAAAACCGAGTAAAAGAAGCCTGGACCGTGTCCCAGCATTTCTGGAAAAAGAGTGGTGGGTAGCCATCCTTCCCCGGTGCCTTGAAACTCCCCATACTTCTCACTGCCAACCAGACTTCCTCCATCGAGATTGCGTGAGTCAGAAACTGAGCCCTCTATAACGGAATACACGCAAAACCCTAGGGCAAACTTGGTGCCTCAGCCTCCTCCGCCGAGAAAAGAGAAATGTAGAAATCACGAACTAGAGCTTTCAGTTTTGATTCCCCATAGACCCAGCGACCCTCGTCGTCATGTAGCCCAAGAATCTTATTAAACTTCCTTCGCTTGACTGTGGACAGATGGAAGTATCGAGTGTTCCGATCTCCTTCCGCTAACTAGACCTCTCTCGATTTTTGGAGCCAAAGCAGTTGTTCCTGCCATAAGGTGTCATTGAGATCAGCCCGGGTACGTTCTTCCTCATCCAGCGAGAGTTGACTACCACCCGCTCATTATTTTCTTCTAGTCGCTGGAGCAGTGATATCAACTGTCTCTTGCGTCTAATAATATGCCTAAACACCTCCCTATTCCACACCTGCAGGTCTTCAGTAAGGTCCTGGAGCTTCCCCAACATATCGGTACTGCGAGCCCATGCATCAATAAAGCCCGAGGGAAGTTTTCGTGCCCCAGCCAAGCTGCCAGGAACCGGTACGGTCGGTCTCTTCGGTTTTGTCGAGGAGGCGCCGACAGGGCCAGGATTGGCCTATGATCAGACCCCACCCTTGCCAGATGCTTAGTGGTAACATCTGGGAACTTCAGCAGCCATTGACGGTTACAAAGAGCACGATCTAATCGTTGAGACAGGTTCCATCGACGCCATGTGAAACTCGGCCCCACGAAACCCACCTCATGCAGTTGAAATACATTAACACAACTTCTGAACTGTTGAACTCTAGCTTCTTGGTAGCCGGCCCCTCCCATACGATCAGCAGGTCTCAAGATTGAGTTAAAGTCCCCTATCAGGATCCATGGGAGGGTAGTTTGCCGAGCGAGTCTTTTAATCTCCGTCCACAATGCAGTGCGATTAGCTGCATTCGGGCTACCATAAATTGCCGAAACAACCACTTCTTGCTCCCTGGACCCCCTTCGAGAATAGCTAACGTGTATCATCTGTTCCCATTCATACATCGATGTTACCTTTAGATTGGCCTTACTCTAAAGAACTCAGATACCCCCTGCATATCCCACTGCGTCCACCATGGCAACACCATCAAAACCTGTTCTCAATGACTCGTCGAGCCTTGTCCCCACTAATTCGCGGTTCAACGATAATCACCATGTCAGGGTTGTGATCCTGACAAAACAACAACAATTGAGGAATAAATAGATCATTACCTGCCCCCGGGCAGTTCCACGATAATATGTCTAACATAAGAAAACCAAGAATGATTGGAAACAAAATTAGCACGGGAGAGAGACTTCTCAAAACAAGCGGATCCCCGCATGTCAGTTAAAGCTAGAGTCCAGAGTCGGGGAAAGCCCCTTCTCCACATTATTAATCTGGGTACTCGAAGCCGGAGTCGACTGCTTTGGCTTGGGCCCTTTGGGGGCAGTCGTGGTACCTCCGCCATCATTGCCTTGCATTGAAATGATGTTTGAAATTTGCAAGCTGGTGGAGATGATGATGTTGCTGAAGTGGAGCAATTGCAACAAAGTTAAAAAGAAAGGAGTTTGATTCTCTTACATGAGTTATGTTTTCAATATTTACTTTCGATTAAGACTTTCATTGATTAATCAGGTAGATTGTCAGAAAACTCTATGTTTTTTTTTTGATGAAGCGGTTGGGATTTCATTTCATCAAAAGAACCAAGTACAATGCTAGCAACATCTCTGCCAGCTGAGCAAAGGGAATAACAGGCCCCTGTACACTCAAAAAACCAAAGTAATCACTCAATCAACTGCTCAAAAGAACAAACACACAACTGAAGGATCTCCAACAACCCTTATATCTCCTTGGACCCTCTGAACCAAAGCATGGAAATCAGTTTTCTTCCCTGCAAACTTAATCAAGCATCTTTCTCTCCATATTGACGCAATTAGAGCATGCCAAATCAGCTTCCCATTTTGTGCTAAGGCAGTGGAACCTTTGAAAGCATTTAAGGCCCACTGAAGCTCACCATCCCATTTATTCCCAGGGACTCGATCTGCAAAATTACAAAACAAAGCTGCAAACAGCTGTTTAAACATAGAGCATGCAGCAAAAAGATGAGATCTTGTTTCCAGGCTACAAGAGCAGAAAGCACATCCAAAGTCACCAGAACCTCCCCACCTTTGAACCTTCTCTCCAGTGGTGATACAGTCAGTGAAAACTAGCCAAACTAGGAATTGGTTCTTTGGGATGCTAGTTCCTTTCCAAACCAGTTTCCCCCAAGCTACATTACCCTTCTTTGGACGAAGCTCCTCCAAAATCTTCCTTATGCAGAATTTTTCCATAAGAACACCCTTCCAATAAACCCCATAAGCAGCAACAGAGAGCCACCCCCTGAGTTTATCTCTGATTTTCAATACTTTCTGCCATAACCAAGACCCTGCTTTAGAGGTAAGAGTCCAGAAATTGCCCCCTTTTATACGATATTCCCAAACCCAAGCAACCCATAATGACCCTTGTCTAAGCAAAACAGCCCAGATATGTCTAACCACACAAGCAAGGTTCCAAGTATACCTATCTTTAAGACCAAGCCCCCCTTCATGTTTGGGATAAGTAATTTGAGACCAAGCCACCACTGCTTTTCTCCTGGCACCCTCTCCTACTCCCCATAAAAAATCACTGCACATTTTCTCGATAGCCTTAATGATAGCCTTAGGCAAAATAAAAATTGACATCCAGAAGTGAGCAAGGCTATACAGCACAGACATCACTAGTTGAAGTTTCCCAGCATAAGAAAGTGTTTTTGACTTCCAACTACTGATTCTACTCATAACTTTGTCTATAAGAGGCTTACAAGCCTTGATGGAAAGTTTACCAGGGAGCAAAGGGAGACCTAAATATCGAACTGGAAGTGACCCCATGATAACGATGTAATTGCACATGTTTGCGCCCCTAGTTCTTATCCGTTTGAGGGGCATAGTCGTGTACTTTTGGCCTATTTTACGCCGGGTTGTGCTATTTTGTCATGTTTCAGGTCCCAGGTGTCAAAGGGAAGGCTAAGCACGAGTTTCGGGGCATTCGGAAGTCATTTCGGTGAGCTGGAGCCAAAACACGGGCAGCCTAAGGCATTACACGGCCGTGTACTGCTGGCCGTGCTTTTTATGCCGAGAGCAAATTCAGTTTGGCCAATTCAGCTGCAAACACGGGCACCGAAGCACGGCCGTGTTCAGTCAAAGCACGGCCGTGTACATTGCGAAGCACGGCCGTGTTTAACCCACTTGCTGGCCGTGTAATTAAGCCATGGCCGAGGCACGGGCGGAGTCAGGCAAAGCACGGCCGTGCCCTCGACTGTGCTTTGGCCACTGATGCTTTTAAGCAGATTTTCAGCCACAACTCAGGGGGATTCGAGTTTTTGAGAGAGAGATCAGTTCCTAGAGAGAGAAAGTGACGAACAAGAGTCTCCAAGTGCCCTAGATTGATCTTCAACACCATTGGAGGCCAGTTTGAGCTTGGAGAAGTGCCGATCAACATCCAGAAGCAGGAATCCATCCTTCACAGTATGAATTCCGCGTCTGATTCTGCTTTTGCTTTCTTCTCTATGGAGTAGTTCTCCCATTCATCTGGGTATGGAGAACCCTAGATTTGTATGTTAGGCTTTGATTGTATGAACCCAAGTACTGATTCTATGATTGATTATATTCGATTGAGGTTTTAATGATTGAATGACTTGAATCCTGATCAAATTCTTGTTGTTTCTGCTTTAACCTAGGATGAGAATATCTGCCTAGGTTAATAGAGCATCCTTGATTGAAGGTAGGGAGTTGGTGACTTTAGTCGAGGAGCCAACTCACTTTTCTGTACCGGATTTACTTCGGTAGTGGAGGTTTTGTTTTTAGGGCCTCAATCTGTTTACTCCGGTGGAGGTTAGTCGCCCGCTAGAGACTCAGATTGAGAGGGTCTGAAGACCTTTAGTCGAGACTTCAGGCTGTTTAAGAACCTTCCGCAGTATAACTATCATAGAAACTGAACTTGGTAATTATAATCCGGCTTAACTGCAGTCTAGGGGGAACCATATCCGGGTGACCTCTCTTAACCTGAATACAACAGTTTACTTGCTTTGTTAGTTTGTTAGTTTAGACTTGCATTCCAGTTTCATTGCTAGATAACAAGAATTCACTGAGTAGTCATCACATCTAGGACCCGGGTTGATAATTAAACCCAAACCCGCTATACTACGCTTTAGGAAGTGGTTTCACTTGGCCAATTCCTGGAGTGACAGTAGAGTCGAGTCAAGTTTTTGACGCCGTTGCCGGGGACGGCTAGGTTGTTGAAGAAAAGTGATTTCTGTTAATTTAGCTTTTCTTTTTGCTTTGTTTGCTTTGTCCCACTTGTGCCTTCACGGGTTTGCTGCTTGAGTGTGTGCAGGTAGTGCATGACCCGTAGCCAGTCAAGAGGTTTACTGCCGTTGAATCCAGAGATTGACCGCACCTGTCGCCAGCTCAAGAGACAACAGCAAGCTAGACTGGCTACGGAAGAGCGCCTAGACGGCCACTTGAGTAGCGATTCTGAAGAAGAGTACGGGATGGACGGAGACTACAATCAGCACCAGGGGAATCCTCAGCAGGTTCCCCCGGTGAATCAGGTCCTGGGGAACAACCCCATACCCCAGGATCATGGAGTTCATCATCCACCGCCGCCGGGTCCCACCTTGGAGTACTACTACACTCCGCGGATTGCTGACATCCGCCCGGTCATTACATCTTCTATCCAGTTCCATGGCTTGAAGGATGAGGAGGCCAGGGTACATCTGTCCCGTTTTCTGCAGCTGACGAACGGGTTCAAGCTGAATGGTGTCCCGGACGATGCAATTCGCCTTCATCTTTTCCCCCATTCTCTGGCGGGGAATGCTAAGAGGTGGTTGGAGACCCAGCCCCCATTGTCCATCACCTCTTGGGACGATCTGGCTGACAAATTCGTGCACAGGTACTATCCGGCATCGAAGACTACAGAGATTCAGCGGGAGATCACTCACTTCCGCCAGGAGCCAGATGAGTCACTCCGTGATGCTTGGGAGCGGTACATGGGCTACTTCTGGCAGTGCCCCCACCATGGCTTTAGTGATGCTTTCACTGTGGGGAACTTCTACAGCGCTCTGTCCCCAGATAGCCAGAGGGTGATTGAGTCTTTATGCCCAGGAGGGGATGTTCTCACCAAGACTCCACCCGAGCTGAATCAGATGATTAATACATTGGCTGCCAGAGATCATTCTTGGGGTCAGAGCAGCAGAGGCAGACATTCCAGGGACCGTGGTGTGCACGCCATGGAGACCAGATCCGGGCTCGAGCAGCAGGTAGCTGAGCTAGTGCAGACATTGAAGCAGCCCAACAGTCTGATTCCGGGCAGAGGTTTGGCTACACCTCCAGTAGCTCAATGTCAGTGGTGTGAGAGCTCTAATCACCTAGTGGAGGACTGCCAGGCTATGAGGGAGTCTACCACACCCTAGGAGCAGTTGGCCTTCATCGCCAATGCGAGGCGCCTCGATCCATACAGCAGCACATATAATGAGGGGTGGCGCCAGCATCCCAACTTCGCATGGAGCAGCAACGCCACTAAACCACCTGGTTTCCCAGCACCAGCAGGTGGTTTTCAGTAGAGGCAGCCCTTCCAGGCTCGTCAGGGGCCAGACCCCCAGCAGCCCTACCAGCCCAGGCAGGGGCAGCCATTCCAGCAGCTCCAGCGCCAGTTCGCCGAGCCAGCAGCAGCTCCGGCCCCAGACGACAGGATGACGAAGCTGAAAACATTCTAGCTTCATTCATGACTAGCACCCAGGCTGCTATCACATCACTGGAGGCAGGTCAGCGGAACCAGGGTGCCATTTTGCAGGATCTGCAGACCCAGGTGGGCATCTTGGCCCGGCAAAACACTACCAGGGCACCGGGGACTCTGCCTGCCACCACTGTTCCTAATCCTCGAGATCCTCACCAGCATCAGCAGCTGGATGCCATTTTTACCAGGAGCGGTAAGGTCATATCTGCTGATC